ATCTACAACTATTCAAATTATGTGGATTGGATCAATTAATACTTTGCACTCATTTGGCAAATAATTATTTTGGTGTTTTTTCGGTCTCGGTGGCTATGGCCTGGAGGCTGTGTAGGCTAGAAAATATAAATAGAACTAGAGAAGAACAAAAAACATATGTACCTACATAAAAGTTTGGCTGTTGACAAACTCCGGCAGGATACAACTCTCCAAAAAGCAAATTCATGAGAGAAAAAAGTTTTGCTGTTTTAATAAATTTAATTAGTTACATATAAGAAACTATTTAAATATGCTCTGAACTTTTAAAGATGACTTATATGTATTTTATAAGTTTATTGAACACTTCAAGATTAAGCCCCAGTTTGATTTCACCTTTAAAAAGTACTTATTTCAACAAGTACTTCTTTTAAGACATGGGACCACACATTAAGTGGTTTTTAAGTACTTATAGGTGCTTGGTAAAAAAGCGGATAAGAAGTACTTCCTGTTAAAAAAGTACTTCTTAAAAAAGTGAGATGGATGTGGTTTTTTTTTTAACATTTTTTCAAGAAGTGCTTCTTGATTCAAATGGGATGAACCTATCCCTGTTTTTTTAATGACAAAATTAACCCCGCTCGAGTTTATCATCTTCCTCTTCCATTCAAAACCCTACAACAACATGCAGCGGCGGCCTTTGGTTGCAGGTCCACCGGCGACATCCAACGGTGAGCACAAAACGGTTGACGGACCTGCCATTTTGCTCTTACCTTTATGTTTCTATAGTATTCCATCGATTTGTGATTTTTTTTGTTTGCATTTTTCTGTAGTTTGAAACTCTCTTTTACTCACTAGTCGCAGATCTGTGTTTAGGCGACTTCAACGACGATATCCCACCGTCTAGCCGCCGACGACCAGAAGGTGAGGTGGTGAGGTCGCCCAAACTCCTCCCCTCCATGTTTGGTTTCTTTTGGGTTTTTTGGGTGATTATTTCTCTAATTCAATTTTTTTGTTAGCAAATCCAAAATTCTTTTGGGCGTTTTTTTTTTGTTGGAAATCATGCAAACAATTTGCATGAGTTGGATGAATATTTGTGTGAAAATTTGCTGAAGTTGAATGAATATTTGTATGAATATATTATTGAATTGTGATTGAATTTTTTTTCTTTATTCATGAATATTTGTGTGAATATATTTTTCAAGTGTGAATATTTGTGATTTTTTTCATGAATTTTTGTTGGTGTTGTTTTTAATATTATCCTATTTTATTTTTTTGAATAATCTGAATTTAGTCATCCTATTTTATTTTTTTTTTAATTTGATATTGATGGTGCTTTTTTATTTGTTTGAATAATCTGAATTTCCTATTATTGATTTATATGTATAGTTAAAATTATCATATTTTAATTTTTTTGTTGTTTTATATGTATAGTTAATATTATCCTTTTTTTTTGAAAAATCCAAATTTAGTCATCCTATTTTATTTTTTTAATTTGATATTGGTGGTGCATTTTTTAATTTCTTGAATAATCTGAATTTCCTATTATTGATTTATATGTATAGTTAAAATTATCATATTTTAATTTTTTGTTGATTTATATGTATAGTTAATATTATCCTATTTTATTTTTTTGAAAAATCCGAATTTAGTCATCCTATTTTATTTTTTTTTAATTTGATATTGGTGGTGTTTCTTTTTACTTGCTTGAATAATCTGAATTTCCTATTATTGATTTATATGTATAGTTAAATTATCATATTTTAATCTTTTGTTGATTTATATGTATAGTTAATATTATCCTATTTTATTTTATTTTTTGAAAAATGTGAATTTTGTCATCCTATTTTATTTTTTTAATTTGATATTTGTGTTGTTTTTTTATTTTCTTGAATAATCTAAATTTCCTATTATTGATTTATATGCATAGTTAAAATTATCATATTTTAATTTTTTTTGTTGATTTATAGTTAAAATACTTTCTGAAAGTATTTTGTGAAAATTGAGCCTTGAAAGTGCTTTTTTGAAGTATTTTGTGAAAACTATGCCTTAAAAGCACTTTCTATAAGTATTTTGTGAAAATTATGCATTGAAAGTGCTTTTTGGAAGTATTTTGTGACAATTGCACCTTAATAGCATTTTTTAGAAGTATTTTGTGAAAACTATGCCTTCAAAGTACTTTTTGGAAATACTATTCAATATTTGTTAAATTATTATTATTATTATTTATCAATATTATTCATCATTTTTATTATTAGTTATTATTATTGTTGTTGTTGTTAATTAGGCCCACATGGCGATTCACATGTGGGTCCATGTGGGCTCTCAGTTGTCATGATGTGGTGTTTTTTCATTGAAATATATAGTATAACATGTGAAAAGCATTGTATATATGTATAAGTGAAGTGAGGGCTAAAATTGTCATTTGTGTCAATATAAACACTTATGGGAAAAGTAGCTTACCAAACATCTCCACCCCAATAATTGCTTAAAAACATAACAAGTGATTTGGCAAGTGGGTCACCAAACAACCTTAATTGGTTGTTAAAATAATTATTTATAAGTTTAACAAACAACCACTTAATCATCAAACATGGCCTAAATTTAACAAATAAGATGTAAAAAGACAAAAACATTATTAACCCGCTCGAAGGTTAAGTGTAGCACATATCAATAAATTTTCAAAATATACCATTCTCTATTCTTTTTCTTTGTTCCTTTGAGAAGAAGAGTGAGACTGGCCTTTTTATTTGGCTCTATTTGGGACATCTTTCCGTGTCCACTACCGGTTGTTTAGAAATTTGACATGTGTTTTAGTCTTTTTCCATTTGGTTG